GAGGCTGTTAAGACGGCTATGGAGAAGGAGAATAACTTCTAAAAGGTATGGGAGGATAGTAGTCGGCCATTGGCCACAAGATACCCTTGATTTAGCGTTAGATCATATCGATACAACTGCCATATTGTGTCAAGCACTTCGGTCAGACATCTGTGAGCAGGAGATTCCTAAAAGATTGAGGATGTGTGCGACTATTGTGAATGACTATCTAAGCCTACTTACCCACAGTTCCATTACTAATAGTACTTGCTCATTACTTATCACTTGGTTGAGTTTTTTGGAGAGTGCGTGCAGGACTGATAAGTTATAACGATACGGGGTCTTGCTGGGCGAAGCCCTGAAGATATCTATGAGAATCTAGAGCCTGGCTTCACCTTTTGAACGAAGAAGATATTCGAAGGCGACAGGAATCTTCGGGAAAATGCCATCCTCTGCCGCTATCTTAGTCTCGCAAAAATTACAGAAACTAATATCTATTGCACTACGAAACATAATACAAATCGCGGATACGTGTTTTGCAGGAACGAAAAGGAAGCACAAGAACAGCTGCTTGTCTCTCTGTTCGTAGTCAACTGTCTATAGAAGCCGAGCGGCGTATAGAACGTTTTCCTTCGTTCAGCATAGAAAGCGAAAACTTTAAGTAGATTGAGATACTATTTCCGGGCTTGATTCCTGGCCGGCCCCCATCGTTAGGGATGTTGCTGAATTGACCCTTCAGTGGAGATCAGAAAACCCACGCTGTGCGAGACACGGATAGCAGCGGCTAGACCGTCAACATCTCAAACCATATGATTAGAAATCAGCCTAGGCAATATGACTAAACCTTGCCGAAAATAACGATTTGCGCTAGATAAGTAAGTAACTACAGACACGGCGCCGTTTATTTGCATATCGAATAAGGTACGACTAGACATTGAGGTACAGCCAAGCAAGCATACACTTCACTGCGTGACTTGAAGCAGAACATATAGATATTTGTAATTTCATGATGGGTGTAAAAGTGACTTTTCCTCGCCGAGGATATTTTACAAGCTCTGAATATTTTGGAATGCTGCCTTTCCACGATTGACCCATTCCTTAGAAGCAAGCGACGTTGAGCGCGCAGGTGCCGTCCTTGGGGCACTGCTTGGGGCACTCGAAGTTCTGAATGCTGTCAATGCAGGTAGTGCCTTGGCAGTAGCCAGCCTGAAGTAAAGCATTAGTAAATGAAATAGGGCATGGGTTGGATTTGAGCACAGAGAAATCGACTTACGCTAACAGCGGCCGGAAGGACCAGAGCGACAGCGGCGACGAAAAGGCTGGAGAACTGCATCTTGAGAGTTGCGTAGGTTGGACTAAGTTAAGTCTTGGAGAGAGGTTTTGGCTTTGCAATTGAGTTGAAAGAGGTAATTTTCGTTGTGAGTGATCCAAAAGAGATAGGCTTCGTCACGGGTAGTATTCAGTCTTTTATGTACAGGCTTAGATGATGGCTTGTACGCCGGGTTTGGAAGTCTATGTTCGGCTTTCTTAGAAATCTTCTGCGAGTTGCGGAGAACACATGAAAGTCCGATCGTATCATTTCTACAATGAAGCCCGAGTCAGGCGGGAACCCAAAATACATTAAATCCTTTGGAATGCAACCCCTACACCGTATTCAAAAGCCCGCGATAGGGTCCCACAAGATAACTCTAATATACGAAGAGTTCTTGGCCAAGGTTGCGCCGGGCTGCTCCGTAATGACGGATATGCTCTATGGTGCCGCTTGACCAACACCAGAACTGAGGAAATGTAGCGTTGGCCGATTCTGGGCTAATCCAGATCGTGGAAACCCCCGTGAGTTCTCATGGTTTATATACTGGCTCTCAGATTGCAACTTGGCTTGAAATGATTGCGTGCTTAACGCCTATACTCATAACCCTTACTGTGTAATCGACGAAGACTGGTTGCTATGGTGTCGTTGTCAATGCTATGATTAACGTTTATGGGAAGTGGGCCTGAAGCCCCACGGATTCCACGCTTCGCGTCCTCTTATCCGAGACCGAAGAATACACCGGGTCCGCCGCTGGATTCAATCCTTGTTCTATCGGACTCGGTCTCAAAGGTGCCTGCGAGACTGTGAATGACCGCAATGAGGAAGAAAATCCGCAAGTCTTGCTACCGGAGATGTGGTCTAAGCGGTCTATGTATCTGTAATTTGCGAATACTCGCACTTTTGTTGTGTGCCCGAGTCTCATATCTCACCGCAATCCCTCCTCTAGGAACTGTCAGCATGAGCATGGAAATTTACTCGATACGTAGCATTAATTATGTGAAAAGCTGTCAATCTCAGAATGTCAAATATACCCGACTTGATCTTCCGATTGTGTGTGGCATTACTCAAGACAAGGGCCAAGCAAGGGGTCACCAGACACTGATCAGCACAATGTAGCAATTTCATCTGTGACTCTGTAGTTCAAGCAATTGACATAGATCTGAATAGCTGAAAGGATATCAATTCTGTGTCTAAGTGAGTGCATATGGTCAAAGTTCTGTACATGTAGACATCTTCTTCGTGAGGTAGTTTCACGCAACGTAAATGAATCACCAAGTGGCATGGAAGGAGCCGTCTACTTATGGTAGGAAGTGTCATCCGACTAGACAGAATTAAAGAGCATCATGTATTTAAATCGGTTGACTCAAGGGTCTAGGCGTGTTTAAGATTAAGCGCAATGGTCGTATTACGTGCTGCTGACAACTTACCGAGTAAGGAACCCCGCCGCAGAGCCCCTCCGCGCAGGAACGAAAAGAACTTTAAGTCAAGAACCTACGTTCACCTCTTAAGTAGACATGAGTCGGCCTATGAGCTCACCCTCTATAAGCCTTTTTGAATCTACCGGTATGTTTATATACAGGGCTTCGACTGAATCCGGGGGCACTTAACTCCGCAGGACACGGCACTGTTCGCACAGAGCTTCATCACTTGTATGTGTTGATAGATTTCCTTTATCTCAACCTCATTGTTCTAACAGTGGCTTACGAATGCTTTAGTCTGTAAACGGAGCATACCGACTTCTCTTCCTGATGACTTTACCATACTTGAGAAACAAAACTGGGACTGGTATCAAAGAAACGCAGATGAAACCAAGTAGCGATGATGCCCACGCAACGCCTACCACTTCAGTGAGCAAATGGCACAGCTTTTTCAAGTAGAAAGATGATCAAGCTTACCCAATTTGCTGTACATGCTGGTCGCGAACATAGTAAAACCAGCACCAACCCAGCTTCTCAGAAATACGTTGGCCGCAATGGCGCTGTTCGAGAGTTGAGCATATGTGTCGATTATGTACACCAACCCTTGTATGAAGATGGTCATGATCCCTATCCCAGTGGGAACGCCTGCAAGGACTTGGGGGGCCCAATGAATGTCTGGATCGCTTGTCCAGGCGAACAACAACATGCCTATTGGTAGTGAAACAGCACCGAAGACCATTGGAATGAGGCGTTCTTCTGGCGGCACCTTCCCATCCGCTTTGTATATCTTTGCGTACCGGAGTTTGAGGTGTAGTAACACGACCGCTCCTCCAAGAACAATACCGAACCCAAGGCTTAGGAACGGAAGGGTTCCTACGCCTAGACTCCAACCGCGTTTGGCGGAAAAAGAGAACGGGTAAGCCTCGAAGAAGAGGTATAAAATACCGTAAATGAGCGACATATAGACTGTCACGAGGGCCAAGATGGGCTCGCGGCAGAGCATGGCGATAGGTCTGACGAGATACTTCTGTGCGATGTCGCTCAATTCCAACCGATGCTCCTCGACGGCAGCATGGAGTGCCCAATTGCCAGTTGCGAAACGGAGCTCCCGAGCTCTTCTTTTGAGTATGACTGGGCCGTATGTCTCCGGGATGAACAGCAAGAGAATCGCCCACAGCACAGCACCGGGAATGAATGTTAACCAAGCCGTCCATCGCCATCCCAAATAGGATTCGGTGACAAAGCCACCGACTATTGGCCCGAAAATGGAGCCCATGAACGTTGCGCCAGCAAAAATGCAGACCGCGATGCCTCTTTCAATGGGAAGGAAGAGGTCAACGAGTGCGCCGCCAACGATGGCTAAAGGAGCCGCGCCTCCGAAACCGATAACGAACCTGCATACCAATATCGTCTCGACGTTTGTTGCGACGGCAACTGGTATGTTGAAAACGCAGAAGACGAGGAGTCCCAGTAGCAGGGGAGTCTTGCGACCGTACAACTCGGAGAGCGGTCCAAAAACCAGGGGTCCGAATGCAAACCCCTATCCACGGTCAGTCGTATTGAATCTGCCATAGCATAGCTCTACTTACCAAAACATTGAGTGCTGTTGCTAAATGCATGACATCTTTTGACACTCCGAATGACTCGCTCGTCACTTCAGTTGCAGTACTGAAAATTGAACTGGCAAAAGTGACAATGAAGGTAACAAGACCGTAGTGAACTGTTGTTCCCCACTTCTTACCTGGGGAGAAGTTCCGAGGATTGCCAAAATCGTATTCATCAGTCCAGTCGACGACGTTGGGGAGGTCATCCTGTACCCCCATAATGTAATAGAGATGTCAGTCAATGGGCTCAAGAACGCGAATAGCCAGGCTACAACCTCCGCTACCATTCTGAAGACTTTATAAGAATTAAGAACAGGCCTAGTATCTCTCTTTTCAGTCGATTCGTATCTAAAAGTACTGGGGGTATATCTGCAGAGTTCGATGATAGCTGCGTGTAACACACGCTTTGTCGACCTTCCCCACCTTTAAGTCCGGTTAGTAAGGCAAACCAAAGTCGAGTGCTCGGCTTTACGGGTGGGGATCAGTTCAAATACCGTCGGTGATCGAAGAGAGAGACTGAACTCAGTCAACCTCAAATCTCCGGCGATCCCAAACAACAAACAATCTTGCTCTTCACTGCCAAACGTTCATATTCCCATCTGCAGCCATCTGCCGACTGTGAATGCTAGTTATTGTACCCACTTCACCCGGGGCAAACACTCGACTACTATGTCCGACGCCCAACAAATGGAAGAAACGCCGGTGCTCACGCGCCGGCGCCGAAGGGAGCGGCCGATGCTCGTCTGTCTCGAATGTCATCGCCGAAAACTGAAATGCAATAAGCAGCGGCCCTGCGACCGGTGCTCAAAGAACAATCCCCCGCTGAAATGCACGTACGTGAGACCGGTCCACGGCAGCGCACCGAAGCGATCGCCCCGTGAGCAGCAGCAGCGGCACCAAGCATCCACCGATAGGGAACGAGGTCCCGACGTCAGGCATACACCGGGCCACTCCGACGATCAGGTAGATGCAAGACCCGAAAGCATATTGCCTGCTGTGAATCGCAGCGCTTCAGCTTCCGAGTCTCGAGACAGAAGCGTAAGAGACGATGACGCGGATTCACCGACTCCTGGGGCCCAAGAGGGCTTGCTTGATGGGAACGCAGACGCGCTGGGTATGTCCGAGAACGCCGGGGCCCCGACCGTAAAGCCGAGCAAACTCAATTCGAGAAGAACGTGGTACGGGCGTAGTAGCAACCACTGGCTTTTCCCAAAGGTATGACAAAACTCAACGTCATCGCTTTTTCTCCATTAACAGTTGTTGTAGTTCCAGCATATCATGGCTCTCATGGGCCGAGCCGGGTTCTCTTTACCTGGCGGCCAGTTTACAACTTTCAATGAGCTCAAGACTTCGTTGTACCAGCGCCGAACCCTCTTTCTCGGAGAGACCCAGGGGCCCCAACTATCCATGTTTGAAGAGTTTCCACCAAGGAGCACAACGGAGTTTCTAGTCCAGCGATATTTCGAAACTTTTGGCTCCGTCTTTGCGCTCTTACAAAAGCCAATTTTCCAAGACCAGGTCTTGAGATTTTGGGAAAAGCCTGAGAGCGTGCCCATTTCCGACTGCATACAAATCTTGCTGGTCATAGCCATTGGAAATGGTACTCTAGACATCAACAGCGGCCGATTGCCGGACACCAAGATTGAGGGGTGGTGGCATCTCATCCTAGCGTGGCAGGGCGTCGCCCTTCGTTCGAACCCTTGCGATGTCAGCACTCTCCAAGCATGCTGCTTGATTGACATCATGAGGCAGGTCTACAGCCTGGATTCTACCGCTACTTGGTCCTCATCGGGTATGCTGGCGCGGAACGCCATGGTGGCAGGCCTGCATCGCGATCCCTCAGTCACAGGAGACCGCCTTACAAAGGACGAGCTAGAGACTCAACAAAATCTCTGGTACACGATCCTGGAGCTAGATTTACAAAGCTCAATGAATGAGGGGGTTTTGACAACGATAGGGCCTGACGACTGGGATATGTCGTTACCAACACCTCCAAGATCAGGTGGCAGCGTCGCCGGAGGTGACTCGTCACCTGTGGGCTACTTGATTTTGACTCTGAGAACGCGTATGCGTATCGCCAACTTTCTCAATGACATCAGATGCTCCACGAAATACGACGAGGCTTCAAAGTTGCAGGAGACATTTGAAGCTGCAGCACATCCGCTGCTAGCAGACAGCTCTCCTGACCGGGGAATTTTTGCTCTATGTTTCTCAGCCATTCTTTGTCAGAGGTCATTACTTGCTCTTCACTTACCATTTGGCATTCAACGAAGCTCCACGTTGGCGTTCTCGCACACCTTGTGCGTCAGCACCGCCATCTCCATCCTCGAGACCATTGATCCTCCCAACAAACTGGCCAAAGCATATGACGTGGGTGGACTGGTGAACATGATGAGGACCTCCGGGTCTCTGTTTCGTACAGTGGCCCTACAAGCCGTGTTGTTCCTCTGTTTTCAGCTAGAAGTGTCCATCACTGACAACAAGCCCTGGACGTTAATCGCCGAGCTTCGAGACCGGATCATAGATATTATCGACCGCTACGCCCTCATTGCCGAAAGGAGGCTCGCGACGCAAGACTTTGTAGGGAAGGCTTTCATCATCGCCAACATGGTATCGGCGAAAGCCAAGCTTGTGAGGATGGGACACAGCGGAGCGGAGATCGATGCGGCTAGTCCGGCTATGGCCAAGGACATCGCCGAGGTGTGCTTCGCCATCTTCCGCAATCGGCCGGATATCCCTGGCCCTGTTCCCGAAGACATGACACCAATGTCGATAATGGAATGAAGATGGGATTCGAGGGTCCGCGTAACTGCACATATGCAAGGTGCTGTACTCAATTAGTCTGTAGATATCCAGGCGACTAGATACTCGCTGTGGCATTGAGTTTTCAGATTATTTACCAAGTCTAGCTCAAACCAATGTTCCCGCCAGAAAGTCTTATCCTAGGGATGTTCCCATTGATACTTGGATCGAGATAAGAATGCTTCCGCGGGTCTATATGCCCTGTGCAGCTGTCATTTTCCATGGTATAGCCAGCATCAATGTCATTATCATGATTCTGAGCCGTGATTGCGACCACTGGACGAGCTTGCTGAGTCTCTAGAATGCATGCATGCCATCCTCTGTCTGCCTTGCGAGCCTGATGCCTATGAAGTCCAAATCCAACGGCATCATTGACTGAGATTCTCAGAGAGCAGCAAGCCTTCTCGGTGAGGTAGTCGATTGGTCTCAACGGGATGCCAAAGATCACCCTGCTTCAATACGACTACCTTGGCAGATTAAACTCGCCACACAACATAGATCTGTGCTTTATTGAGCCGTAATACTAGCCGATTCAGGAAGTGGCTTCCGCCGTGATAGTAAAATCCAGGAGGCCTTTTTAGACATATAAACTTCGCGAGTCATAGCTTTGCATCACTACAGCCCGTCATTCTCCTCATGCTTCGAAGACTTGATGGATTCCGAAATTTGAGCTCAATAAGCCGGGGATTCTGGATAGATACAGCCTAAAGGCGTGTCAATCTTCGTATCTAGGAAGAGTTCGGCTATCTACTGATTAGGTAGAGAACGCCTGGTACCTTTATTTCACCACCTCCATGCCTCAGCCAGTAGCACAGTGCTTTGTGCTTGAACCTCACGCCCAGCTTCCCTTCCAGGTATGCTTGGCATCGATGAGCAGATACCCATACGTTACCGATGTTGTCAGTTGGGGCCTACCCGAAGCGACGGACTTGGCGGAATTCTTTGATGCTAAATCCTCACCCTATACATCCTCAGTAGAGGCCAGAATGCACCAAAATGCTACACTCGCAACCTATAATCCGCCAAGCCATGACCGTCTTTGCAATGCGGAGTTCTCGGTGGCTTGTAAAGCTTCTTAAAACGAAATACTGGGGCTCATGGTATCAGGAACTGATTCCAGATCTTTCTAACAATGGCTGGTGCCAAACGACATCACCAGAATCCTGACCAACACAGCAATGTGATCATCTGCTAGCCCTGTATTTCAACTGGCATCTTGAGTCAATCGAGAAATTCACATTCTGCCCTACAAGTATAAGATATCGACAATGTCCTCTACAACTCTACTTCTTTTTCTCCTCGTCATTGCATTAGCATCATTGGCCACAGTTCGCCACCAAGCCTCACTCTCACGCACCACTTCGCCCAACATGCAGCCCATCACTCTCGCAAACCTCATCCTCCTCGTATCGGCTCCCCTCGCCTTGGCAAATCCGGTCGGCGAGGCGGCCTCTGCCATCTTCGTCAGGCAAATCAACTGCTGGAAGGCCAACTGCGGTGGCGCTGGCGAATGCGCTGGTAGCTGGGTACGTTCATCATTAACACGTGAAAAAGGCTATGAATTGATGCTAATCATTGACTCCATAGTGCTGCGTTCCTTGGCAAGCAGCTGATGGACCGGCCTGCAAGTGCGCTCCTCCTGGTGACACCAAGTACTGTTAAGGTCGCGAGCATACTTCAATCATCATCATCATCATCATCATTATCAAGAGCAGTCCGGTGCAGGGTGCCCCTATCAATATTTGCGGAGTGAAGCTTTCAGTGAGGTAGTTACATGTTCTTTTTGGGACTCCAAGAAATCTTTAGTGGCCTTCATAGAAATCGAAGATCCTCATCTGAACAGAAAACCATCCACAAGTGGAAAAGAACTCACTTTCACCATTATAGTGCCTTCCATTTAGTTGCCTCTAACTATGATTGCTCAAAACTGGCAGATAATCCATATAGCGCCTCAAATACCGAATTGTGGCACCACCGGAGTGGTAAGCACGGTGTTCAACGGAATTTTGGCAGGCAGCCAGCGCCGGGTACGGCAGTGCTCCGGGGTGGATACCCGGCCCCGCAGGCCGATCGAGCATGATTGTCGGCTCAACTCACTCGGTGCGTTGTCCGAAACTCCGGCCTGCCCACAGGCTCCATCACTCATGATTTCCATCCCCTTTCCAGAGACTGAGCGGCCACTAAATACGACTCCCCGCGCTCATCTACACGTGTACCGAATGACGCTGGCTGCAACGTAATTAGGGGCTTTCATATGGCCGAAAGAAGTCCGGGGTCCCACAACTTGAACAAGGGGATAGAAAAGGAGGGTTTCCCATGGCCGCAATCTTCAGGGATCCTCATTCTTCAACCAACCAACTGGCCGGGCCCAGAAAAGAAAATCTCCATGTAGCCAGCTCCCCCTCCCCCCTTAGCGGGCCGTTTGACATCTCCGAGTTAGGCAACTTTGGTTCAAGTTTGAGCCACCGAAAAAAGCCGTTGCACCCTAATTCAGGGATTGCGTGTGTCGTTGCAGCGCGAACAGACAATGGATTGCTGCCGTGCGAATGTCAGACCATCCATTCGGATTGCCTAGAACGCCCATGATCAGTTTTCCGAGCCCAATTCGCCTTACCCTTCACGTATGAGAAACCTACACCGACAACTAAGAGACATCTGCCGTTCTTCGGGGTTTTCTTGTCTGCGCGTCCCGTTGATCGCTCATGCCACCCACCCATGTCTCCAACGTTGTAAACCTCGGTGCTCTGGCTTTTTCGGGTGTAGGTCAAATGCAGAACGTGTGGACCGCCCCTTTGACTATCTTCATCCCACCCCGGACTCTCCACACATTCTACCGTGGCGCAAGTCTTGGGAGATGTGAGAGAAGAGACGAAGAAGAATGCCCTCCTCCTCTGCTCTCTGGATTCCGTGATTGAAAGCTTCCTTCTCATCCTTCCCAAGTTCCCGTTCCCTGGCGAATCAGGAATAACACAATGTCAACCATAGAGACTACGTCGTCGCCCCTCGACGTCTCCTCGTCGTACCTCTCGGTCCGTACCGTGCTCGGTCTTGCCGGCCTATGGCTGCTGTACCAGGTTGCAAAGGCGCTCTACAACATCTCGCCTTTGCATCCTTTGAGCCACATTCCCGGACCTAAATTGTCTGCAGCCACATACATCCCCGAATTTTACTACGATGTCATTCTTTTCGGTCGCTACACGAGGGAGATTAGCCGCATGCACGAGCAGTATGGTAAGTCTAGCTGCACTCTTCGGGAAACTCAAGACGAAATCTAACGTTGTCGCAAAGGCCCCATCGTCCGCATCAGCCCCCACGAAGTACACTGCAACGACGTCAACTTTTCAGATGATATCTACGCCGTCAGTGGTCGCAAGCGCGACAAGCCTGTCCACCAGATTAACGGTTCTGCGTGAGTTCTTATACGTAGATGAGAACGCCTAGGAGCAGTATTGCTTATCAAACATTTGTTGTCTAGCTTGGGCGAGTCTGGCTTCGGAACCGTGAACCATGATTCGCATCGCGTTCGTCGCATCCCCCTGGCCAAGTTCTTCTCTCGCGGCAATATTGCGCGCCTCGAAGGCGACGTTCACGATCTGGTCCAGAAGCTTTGCGACAAGCTGCTTTCTCAGCGGGAGGCTTTCGACGTGACAATGGCTTACAGCTGCTTCACCTCTGACGCTATCTCCGGATATTGCTTCGGTGAGAGCTTCGGTTTCCTCAGACAAGACGGCTGGTACCCCAATTTTCGGGAGCCGACTGCCTCCATCCTGAGACCTGTCTTTGTCTTCCGATTCTTTCCCTGGACCAAGTCCTTTGCCGTTCTTGGAGAGTGGTATGTTTGCTTCTTGAGCCCATCTACAATTCCGAGACGCAATGGAAAATGCTAACTCTCAAAAGGCTTGTGGATTACTTACCTGCCGACATTGCCCTGCTCATCCGCACGCTCAAGATTGATATTCCCAACAAGGTGAAGCACACCAAAGCCGAGCTCGACGCCGGCATCCGGCACGAGCGCCCCACAGTCTTCGGGTCCCTCCTGGAGTCAGACCTGGAGCTGCTCGAGAAGAACCCACAGCGCCTAGCCGACGAGGCGGCCGCCGTTGTGGGCGCGGGAACCGAGACCACCAGCTGGGCCCTGGGCGTCATCACGTACCACCTCCTCACCAAGCCCCATCTGCTCAAGAAGCTCCAGGACGAGCTGAAGGCCGTCGTCGACGACCCCAAGCACCTCCCCGGCTGGACGAGTCTCGAGAACCTGCCTTATTTGGGTGCTGTCCTCCAGGAGGGCCTTCGCCTTTCGTACGGTGTCTCTGCGCGTACTGCTCGTGTGCCTACTGAGGAGAACCTGGTCTACCGCGGCGAGTTCAACAAGAAGCCTGTCGAGTATGTCATTCCTGCTGGCTACGCTGTTGGCATGTCTGCTGTGATCACGCACCATGACGAGACTGTGTTCCCCGACTCGTATCAGTTCATTCCCGAGCGCTGGCTGGACGAGAACAACCAACGCCGAAAGGATGTTGAGAAGGGTATGCTTGCCTTTTCCAAGGGCAGCAGATCTTGCTTAGGCATGAAGTGAGTTGAAATCTTCTTGACTTGGTGAGAACCGTGTTTGTTGACTTGTTTTTGAACAGCCTTGCCTTGTGTGAGCTCAACTTGTGCTTGACGGCGCTTGCTCTGCGTGTTCTACCCAAGATGCGTCTGTATGAGACGACGGACGAGGACGTTGCTTACGATCACGACATGTTCATTCCCGTGACTAAGCCGGGGTCGAATGGCGTGCGGGTGACGATAGTCTAACAGTCTTAGATTGTTTCCCATGGTTAGACTTGATTATCACAGGTGCCGCGTTCCCGGCCGTCTTAGTTTATTTCTTAATCTCAACTATTCCAAAAACATGCATACTAGAGTGGATGCCGTCTCGCTACGCATAGAAACCCCCGTGCATGTGTGCCCCAGGATGAACGAATAAACCTATTCGGGACGGCTCGGGTTGGTTGTCTCTTTCTTTCGAGCTTTTCACAACCGGGGGGCGTTGACCGGTCAGATCAGAACTGGGCATATCACATCTTGGAACCCGAAAGCGGCAGAACGGCTCGTCTTATCCTCGTACGAGATGACCGTCCAACAACGGCTCCCACAACTCCATCGTAGAATACTTACTGTGGCCGGCGATGATCCCAATTGTGGCCCCCTTCGACGTCGTAGTGATCGACATGTTTCAACCCCCAAAAACGATCGTGGCAGAGGATTTCGCTGCTTCAACTAGCGCCGTTCTGCCATGCGACATGTCAGATCCCGTCATTGGTCGAATGTCAAGCCCATCCTTCCATGCAACTTTTTCGACGCTTCTCTTCGGACGTTGGTGATGTCTTTCGCCTAGTGCTGTGGAGTCCTCGAGCGGTGGATGCTCATCCTCTTGCAACGGACCCCTGAGCGTTGTGCCGCCTTTGCTAGCGGCCCCCAATTCCAACCAACCCGGGCTTTCTCGGCCTGAAGACCGGTTCCTTCATTAGTGATCATTGGTGACGGGAAAGTGGGCAAATAAGACCCAGTTCGAGAACTGCTTCTTGACTTTTTTCCTCTTCCAGGCCATCCGGTTGCCATGGCCCATGGGTCTATGGCCCCCTTCTTGTTGGAAGGCGGTCCCTGTTGGTTGCATCAGGTTTTCTCGACCAGTGGCAAGCCTATGAGCATCTACGAGGTCTATGACAGTTCTCGAAGTGTCAAAGTGTCAAAGTAGCGCCCCCCAAATGTTAATATCTGGGGTTGCATCCATGGAAACCAGGAACATGATCCCCGGTTCTGATCTTTTCGAGCAGTCCAAGACCCAACCCAAGACTACCACTGCTACGCCGCCTCCTACTACCGGAACTGAATTTAGTTCCCAAGCGGCTCATCCTGCTCCCCTGCATTAGTAGTATAGATCTGCAGGCTGCGGCTGCGGCACTTGAAGCCCCGAAGAGGGTTCTACCCGGAGGTTTATAACTCGGGGAGTGCCTACTTTTTGTTGTCAACACCACATTCGAAAACCGTGGCGTGAGGGTGGATTGCTTCTTAACGAAAAGAAAGGATTTGATCAAAGACCACGTGTCGCCCAATATGTCCTTGTCAACGAATGTCGACCCCGATCTACGAATCCTCGAGCCGGAGCACCTGCCACTAGCCATCATCATCATATCATCCGTCTTCCTCGTCATATCGGTGATATGTGTCGGCGTACGAACGAGCGTGCGCCTCGTTGAGGGCACATTTGGCCTAGACGATGGACTGATGCTCGCGGGAACGGTATGCCACTCTTACAATATCGAAGAAACCGGATAGCTTCGCTAATCTGCCCTGTGAAAAGGTGGTTTACGTACCAAGCGTGGGACTGACGATATACGGCTGCCTCGTCGGGTTGGGCACGTTGCAAGAAAAGCTCAACATGTGGATGTTTTCAGAGGCCCTCAAGATCTACATCATCTGGATCTTGATATACGTCGTCGCCCTCGCTCTCGTCAAGTCATCCGTCTGCCTCACCATCCAACGAATCATCACGACAAACAATGCTCTGCGCATCACGGTCTGGGTCCTGCTCGGCGTCACGTGGGCTTCTTTCATGATCACCTTCATCGGAACGCTGTTATACTGTCAGCCGGTTGAGGCCATCTGGACGCCCACGA